AGATTAATAAAAAAAACGTGTACTTGCAAATTTCTGATTTAGGTTTAGACTGCCCTTCCAAAGCAAAGTGATTGCCGAAATGAATCTCCTGAAAGAGGCCTGGATAGTATTTGTCAATCCACTCAATTGTGTGCTCTTTTATTGCATTCTGTCGAGATCTATAATAAAAATACAAGCTAATAGGTTATCAGGGGTAATGAAATACTAGAAGCAGTTTGGAAGGCTGTCGAGGGCACACATACGTAACGATGGACAAATTGTAAATTTCGGATAACTTTTGAAGAGCCTCCCGAGCACCTGGAATTGGACGTATTCCCTTTCTGAAATAATGAGTCTTGAAGAACTCATGAACACGAATATCAGCTGAAAGAAGATAGCCAGTTAAATTTTAGCAACAAAAGCTGAAAACGGAAGAGAAAATGTCAACCTACAGTTTTTATTGGATCAAAATGCATCAGACCCACACCTAAAACGATCATACTTGATATAGTATTTGCTTATATTCAAAGATAGAGAAGGAAAAAAAAATGTCTGATAAAACTACTAATCTTAACAAAAAATAAAAAATATGACGAGGGCGCATGATTAATGTTTGTGATACGAATTTTGGATTTTTTTCAATGTAGAAGTATAATGAAACTGACAACGAATTCCCAAGTGTGAAGAAAACAAAACATTTTTACAATGATTACTTGGAAAAACGAAGAAAATAACAAATTTGGCCTGCGGATGCTGCAAATCGATAAGAAAAGTAGTCTGTTTGCCCAAATCACAAATCCCATTTAGGTATCAATTGTACGTTAGACAAAATAAACAAGATTTATTATGAACATATCTGTCAGGACTCAGGAGTTAGAGCATATTGGTCAATACCTTCATCACGTGAACAGTTCCATATCTGCAAGAAAAGATAAGTGAATCAGAGAACTCATGAGAGCAGTCTATAGCTAAAGATTACTGCAGATAAAACTCATGCTCATGAAGTTATTGAAGTTCATCTATTCAAACAACATAAGTACGCAGAAAGATTACGCTTCAATCTTACCAACAAATACCAAAAAATTTACTTCTTTTGCACGAACAGGTCATTACAGTCCACCAGTGAAGAAAAGGTTCAAGAAAATAGTTGGCCCCAAGACTTCCTTAATTATGCATATTTATATCAAACAAACTTCCTTAATTATGCATATTATGTTGTACCTTGAAAAATTCATAGACATGGTATTCAGAAACTGAATGATTTAGGGAGTAGCGATCTGCAATGAACTGATTAAGAGCTGATACGAAGTTCCCAAGAACTGCCATCAAAGTAAAAAGTAAAAAAAAAAAAAGAATGTAAATACACCAATGTGATCATTCCAACTCAAATAAAGCATTTCAACACTCATGAGAAATACATGAATCCAAACTTTTTACAAAGAATCATTCCAACTCAAATAAAGAATTTTAACACTCATGAGAAATACATGATCTAAACTTTTGTCAATGATTTCAGCAAGTGAAACCGCTATGTAAACAATACACCATCAACTAAAAGGCGATCACAATATGAAGAAACATAACTGGATGAAACAGCCCCCCGCCTAAAGTCGACTTTCCAGTAGATTGTTGGATTCTAAAAAAGTGTGCTAATTTCAGAAGGTAAAGCGTAGTACTTTAAGTTGATCAATGACAATGCAATATCAAGTATGACAAGATTGTTCAAAGCTAGAATTACAGATATTGACTATTTCCTAAAAATACTTTGTCATCAAAACAGGAAATGAGAAAATCATCAATTATCATCAGTTGAGCCAATGGCAGGTCATGACTACATATCTATCCTAAGAAAAGGGAAAAAATCATCAAACACACGAGCAACCAAAAGTAGAAAACCACAGAAAATCAAAATACCCTCATCAACGTCAACAGCAACCATGACTTTGTCCTGAAACGGCTGCCCCAAAGCTCCCTTAAAGTTCCCTCTGTTAGCGGCGGAGCTGCCATTAACAGCCCTTGAGTTGAGACTCTTCTGCTGATCCTCGACCTTAACAGCTTCCTCCGAAACACCCAGCAACTGCCGGACGCAAGGAGAATAAACTCTCGCTTTCTGAACTCCATTTCCCATAGCACGATAACTCTTGAAATTGTCATTACTGTTATTATCATTATTATTTCGCAGAGCGCTGCCGTAGTTTTGGGAGGAGCAAGCCTTGAGCGTGAACCTATTTTTTAAAAAACTTGAGGTGCTTGTATCAATGGCGGATGAAGCAGAGGTCGACGAAAGAGCTCTGAGAGATGCCATTTGGAAATCCTTATTGCCCACCATGAAATTCGAGGCCGCCGCCATGAAAGAGGTTCCAAACCGGCGGAAATCGCTTATACAATCCCGAATTGGTGACCGGAAACGCCTGCTTATCATGCCGGGTTTATCGCAAATTCACCTGGAAATTTACCCTCATATCTAAATGGGATCTTGGGATAAACAGCGGTAGACTGTAAAGAAAAACAGAATAGAAAGAAAAGAACGAATAAATTTCTAGGATTCAAAGAATATCCACCATGATTGATCGACTAATTGAGGAGAGCAGCTGCAATCAGTGGCTGCGGCGGATCAATTTCCTACGATTTCAAGCAAGATTATTGAAAGAGAATTTTTTTTGTACAAATGCACAATAATGTATTCAAGAATGAACATGTTTTTGTTAGTTTCAAGACAACTGAAAGATGCCGACTGCGACAGAATCGAAATTTCATGGCTGATATTTTCAGAAATATTTTCTCTCTTTTTTTTTTCCTTCTTTTGTAGTTATTATTCCTCTATCACCTAGGGAAATATGTTTCTCATTTTTTCTCTCAGGCATTTTCTATTCTTTTAATAATTTATTAAAAGTGCCAAACTAATTTGTGCAATTAAGTTTTGGGCGGACAATCTTTATTTTACACCCCATTATATATACATTTTTTTTCTCACCCTTCTATAAAAAAAAATCTTTTTTCATGCAAAAGCTCATTAAATGATATATGCCTATCTAAATGAACCGTATAATTAACAATTATGCTAGATTTTGTCGTATATATAGTAGCGCATATGCAAATCATACGCATGGTTAATAATTATACGACATACTTTTGCACATTTTCTAACCGTATATCTAAATTCACCGCATAATTTAACATATGCGAGAAAGCTTCCAGAAATTCTATAGCGCCCATATAGGCGCCATATGGTGCCATAATCTCACGATCCAACGCCTAATATCCATTCTATCAATTCCACAATGAATATTAGGCGTTAGATCGTGAAGATTATGGTACCATATAGTACCCATATGGGTGTCATAGAATTTCTGAGAAAGCTTCGCATATATAGGTATCACATATCCAACCAACATGAACCATTTATTGAAATTGTGGGCGATTTTTTTATTGAAATTGTATATTAATATAAAAATCAAAAGATACACTTATTTTTTTTCCCTCAAACTTATAAAAACAATTCAGAAGTTAAAATGGACCATTATTATTTATTTTTCCATAAAATTCAAGATCACCCAGTCACATATTACTAACTACTACATATTTAATTATTATTTTAATGTATTTTATATTATTTCAACATTATCATTAAATTTTAATTTTATATTCATTACATTTAAAAAAATAATAATTCTTCCTCGAACATGCATCTTACTGGCTTTCCTTGTCAATCCTAATTCTATTTAATTGCCTGTCTTTTATCATTATCAATATTTGGTCAAGATAACATAACATATCCTAAAGAGATTAAAGCCTCATCTTTTTTGGGGCAATCAGCTTATGCCATGATATTAATATAAACATAAATTTCGAATCTTTGAATGAAATAATTTGATTTCTTTTTTGATGTGGAAAATAACACAATTGACTCGAATAAACAAACTCACGAGCTCTCTTCATATAAATTAGTTTCTTTTATTTGGCCGTCACTTTCATAGAAGAAAAATCCTAGAATAAAGATGTAAATCGGATTCTCTTACTTTGTCATCATCTTCGTATCAAAAAATTGCACCAATAGAACCGCGAACCCTAATTGGTGAAAAGATGATTAATTTATATAGAAGTGATTTTAATCATGGTAAGTCCGTCAAATGTACAAATTAATAATTTAAATTATTTAACTATTACATAAAATACTAACCCAATATAATTATTAATTATGAAGCCAATAGGCCACAAAGTCCTGCAATTTTGCTTTATTTTTCGTACACAAAAGTAATCAGCACTCTCTTTCCCCCCTAAAATAGTATTGTGGAACTATTTTTCGTTTTATAAAAATGGAGGTATTTTTATTTTTCAGTATATAATAGTATGTATAAATGGAGGTATTTTGACAATTCACTGTGCAAAAGAATTGTTGTACGATTATTTATTTATTTATTTTTTTTAAAAAAGGGAAAACCCATATGCTTAAATAAACCAACCTTGAATAACTCTAATAAAACTATACATTAATAAAAATGATCTATATATTTCATCAGGGTCGGCAAATGTGGGACCCCAAACCATGGAAAACAATCTATGTACACAAATTGGGCATAAAAACCTAAACTAATCCTTATCACCTTCTATTTTTTGCCCTAAAATCTACCAAACAGCCCGTTAATAATAATAATAAAAAAAAGTATAATTAGACTAAGGCAGCAAATCATCCCCAAACAAGTAAAGCATCCGCTCCACTGCCCAGCTCGGCTGTGCCGCCACCGGCGGCGGGCGGCTGTCGGCAATCAACGAAGCCCGGCAGAGAGGACACGTAAGCCGGTCATCGTAACACAGCCACTTCTCGAGACAGTGCCTGTGGAACACGTGGCAGCAGTTGCTGAGTTCCCAGATCTGGCTGTCCTTCCTCAGCCGGTACAGGCATACGGCGCAATTCCGGTCGTGGGACCCACGCAGCCGGTGCTCGATTTTCTCGAGCGTCGTTAGGGAGAGGCTATCACTCAGTATCCTCAGATTGCACGAAGAAGATGATGACGTGGACGAGCGGCAAGAAGAGGAGGAGGTTTGTGTGAAGGAATTAGTCAAGAGGCTAAGTGCTAAAGATAAGAGCCATCTTGTGAGGGCAAATATTAAAGCTACCTTACACAGCACAAATTGATCGCTTACAACCATTTTTTTTTTTTTTTTTTANAAAAATGAAATTATAGTGAATAATTTTCTCTCTAATGTATTGTTGTAAGTGAAGAAAATTTGAGGGGGAAGTTTGTAATAGCCAGAACAAGTGTATATATAAGCAAGATTCTGATTTGAGGATCGGATCTGACTAATTAACTTTACATAGTGGGTGACGTATTTGGGTGGATGATGATGTCACTTTATGTATTTCTTTTTCCCCTATAGTTTCTGCTTTTTTCTAAATGCAAAGTGAGAATAAAAAGGCGAGGACAAAGGGACATGGATTGGCTACCAATTTATGGCACTTTACAGCACAAATTTGATCATGCAAACAACCTCCACAGTGAGAAAACGCTAAAAAGGAGGCATTTTTACACATCAGGTCTGCCTCAGGCTCCAACTTTTAGGAAAATTAAGCCTTTATGATGGCAGCAAGCCATCAGCAAGGATAAAAACGTGTCCATCTCAAGAATCAAATAGGGGAAATAAAGTGAAATCTATATTAGCTTATCCGACCGTAAAAAGTCGCTTTAAACGGCAGATTAAAGCGAGAAAAGAGGTGCCTGCATTTTTTATTTGGGAATTACTTGCAACTTGTCAAGAATCTATATCCAACTTTGCTCTTAAGCTCGTCTTCGACTGCATTCGGCTTATATAATTATTTACATATATTTCATAAAATTATGAGAATCAATTCCCAGGCACAGGTCACTCACACTAAGTTGTGACTTTGATCTGATTCACCCACCTGAAGAATCTCTTTAGTATCTCTCAATAGGGTGTTTGAATGTGAAAGTTAGAAATTGGAATTTGGAACTTGCCCAAAGCAACCCCATGTGCAAATTAGGTAAAAGCTAATAACAGAACATGGGCATTGTCCAACTAGAAATATAATAATCCAACCATATCAAACCACGTGATTCTTCAACATGGAATCATCAGATTTACACATCACATTCCATGTGAAAACATCATCCCCGTCTTATCCATGCCAAAAGGTTGCAAAAAAGCACATATACACAGACATACACGTGGAGGAAGATTAGGGCAACTGCATATCATCATCAAAAGTCAAAACCGAGCACACTTATTTACATAAACAACCAGGTGTATCTATATAACCGAAATATGCCACAACCTCAATTCATATTCAACGAAATTGGCCAAATGAACAAGATAGTAATGAAGGGACGCCAATTATTCCAGAAACGGCCTTAACGGCATGGTAATTTACAGTAACCTTGACCTTGTACGAGGTTATAACAACAATATCAAGAAAAGTCGATATTTTGTGGAGTTTTATCTTTTATCTTGACAACAAAGGTGAACCTCAGGAAAAATTGTAAAACTAAACCAACTGTTAAAGCAAGGTCCAGCTTTTTACAGTTCAATGTAGAATATTGGGGTTACTCATGAGCAAGTGATTGCTTATCTTCTTCCATCTTCTGTTTTATCCTGTACTGCAACGTAGCAGGAGCACAGTCTAGTGGTGTTTCGCCTGAATAAGAACAGAACAGGCAAAGAAAATCAGTATTCGCACTTAGTCTTGTTGGGGAAATCAAAATACTGGGATTTCTAATATAACTTAATACAAATATTAACAGAACAATGTGTATTCTTTTCCACATAAATCATGTCCGTGCAGTAGAGGTGACCGAAAAGTAGTAATACACCATTGCCCTCTCTTTTCACCTTGAAAAATTTACTCTTGTTCTAAATACTTGCCCCAAATGTCTAACTGAGAAACAGCGAGCATGTTTGTTTATGAAATTTTTGGTTTTGTTTGGATTTTTTGGTTTGTTTTGGTTAATTTTGAAAAAATTAGTATGGTTAGGTGTTAGTGGGTATATTAAAATAATATTTAAAATAAAATAATTAAAATTGATTTGATGTAAAAGTAGGGGAGAGATGATTGAAGTGATAGATAGTTAAAATAATGTCAGTGGATGAATAGTGAATTAAAGTTAATGTGGTGTGTACGAATGATTGATTGGTATTATTTAATTATATTGATAATATTGATGATAGTGTGGTTGAGTTAAAGTTGTGTTAAAAAAAGTGGTTGAGTTAAAATGTTGAATTTTTTTTTAAAAAATTCTTGTAAACAAACATGCTCGCTGCATGTCTGAAAATTATTTACCTTGTGAATTCTTGCAGTCAAGATGTGCTCCATGGTCTATGAGGGCAAATGCTATTTCAGTATGATTGAAAACTGATGCCTGTAAATTATGCAAGTCAAGTTAGACGTACATTAAAAGCACTTGATTTGTTGTTTAATAGAAAACGCAAAGAGTTGAGAATGTACCAAATGTAATAGAGACGAGCCTTGCTTGTCACGATAATTTGCATCAACTCCCTAGAACATTTAAATTAGAAAAGATTTGTTTAAAATTCAGCAATTAGGGAGGTTAGAAGAAAAAAATAAATAAATAATACCTGACTCAAAAGCTTCTTAGCAGCAGGAGCATCACCATTTTTTATTGCTTCTCTTAAACCCTAAGAGTTGAGCAAAATATATCAAATTCTTAATACATAAGGGAAAATGTTAATCACGGTTCACTTATCCAGTAGAGACCAACAAGCCAAGATTACCTCTCCAGTGACCTCATAATTGATTGAAGATGTATCCACAGAACTGTTGCCAACTTGACCAGGATTGAAAAGAGTGCTGCAAAATTTTCACTTTACTTCAACAATGCAACATACAGACATTGTTTAATATATACAAAAAGGGACTTTCAATGATTGCTTATTCCAATTTATCGAAATGGGAGCGGTAAGCCCCACATTAGGAATTCTATGATTACGTAATTCTATTAGATCAATGCCATTGTACTGAATCTTCTCCTTCTTTATAAATACAATATGATAGTGCTTTACATACATAACATGAGTCTGGCGGTTCTCTACATGGCTTATGAACTTGAACTGTAATTATAAGTTTTGGTGAAATACATGAGAACTGTAATGGAAATGCATTATTTCATTATCTGGTATATTTATTTCCCAGATACCTCTTAGAAGCATCTAATTATGCTAATACTTCATCATGGTTTATCCAACACCTCGCAGCATGCAGACATGTAAGAAGGGATCTTTAAGAACCAGGAATTTAAAGAGTGCTGCAGATAAACTTCTCTGCTGCATACCTTTGCCGACAGTTAGATGATGATCCTCTACTTCTAGGAGTTGGTTCTGTCTTCTTTTGTTTTGGGATTGAGTTAAGTGGGGGACTTGAGGTAGTGGTTAATAGCTGCAACAAAACAGAACATGTCAAGACTAGTGAAGTTCACTGAGGACAAACAAGTACATAAAAAACTTCCCTTGCCTGAGGTTGAGGAAAAACATTTGGAGGCTCAGGTGCTTGACAAATGCACAAAGGCATCCCACACTTGCACTCAAAAATGTCTGGAAAAGAAGATTTTGCAGTGCCAGCTTCTGGTTTGGTATCTGAAACTGTACTGATATCCAGTCTCGAAATTGAATCTCCAACAGCATTAATTTCATTTGGATTAGCCGGCACAGTATCCTTCCTTGATCTAATTGACGATTTTACAGAACCAGCATTAAGAACTCAATGAAAAATACATGCATTAAAAAAGATAAGAACAAAAACACTGAAGCTCACAGGCCCATGACATGTGATGAAATACCAAGTATAATATACTGAAGAGAAAAAAGCGATAGTGAATTTATTGAATGATAACTTGGGGTAGTCACAAGGGCCCCCGAAAGAATTTGTCTGCCCAAGGCAGAAAAGGCTGAATACATAGGAACTTGGGATAGCCTTAATGTTCACACCAATCCGTTTATTTATGTAACAGTAGTCTCTAAATCTATACCCTTACATTAGATACTAATATGCCAGGATCTTAACAATTACTTATACAGACATGGTAAAACCTCATAGCCAATTACAACTCCATTTATGGTAAGATCCACTCAAACATTTGTTCTCACCCAAAGTCAGCATTATGTATTCCTCATTGGCTCTAGCAGCATACTACAACAATAAAGTAAGCTAGCATAGAGAGTCCATATATTACGAGTAATAATGGTGAAATAACTTATACAGGGTTCAATCTCCATATCTCTAAATTTCTTAGGTATTTAGACTTCCCTCCCCACCAAGCCCCCTGCATAACTATGAAAAAAGAGAAATAAGCAAAGGTGTCGGTTACTGGGAACAAAGAAAGCAACAATTGGTCAATGAAGATAATACTACCAAGCAGAAATATCCTAACTCTAAACCAAATACAAGAAATCCAAATAACCATCTTCATAATGATGCCCTAAAGTACAAAGCCTGTCTTCCTCAAAAAACCTAGTTTCCAGAGCGAAGCAGCAAGACACAGCCAACGAGATAATGCAGAAATATAAATGAATCGAAAAACAAAATTTAACGCAAAAGAAATATACGTTACAATATAACAAAGTCAGTCGATTGGACTCAAGATCCATACCCACATACAAATGAACATTACCTGGAGCCATCATTAAAACAATCAGCACAAACACGAACATTTGTGTGAATACCAAACTGTGGCAAGGCCTGTAAAAAGGTAGAGAAGCTTAGGACGCCATACACGTTTAGGGCCTTAGGCATATACATATGTGTAGTGTAGAGTGCGTACCATTTGATCCACTGAATGCTCAGCACATAAAGTCCGGCCACAGCACCGGCAGTGATGCTGCAAACATAAAATTTGTTATAAGGCAATATAAAGACCACTGAATAGTTCCACTCGTGCGGACTGCTGAGTCAAATTGCAGTTGAGTAGATTAATAAAGATATAAATCTTGAGGACATATTCACATGAAAATCATTTTGAAGGATATAATGAACTCCTGAAGCTTTGCATCTGACAGGTTTCCCGGAGTTCACAGTGTAAGTAGAAGAATTATACTTTGTCTGTCCCATAATCAGACATCGTGAAATGCGAAATTTTAAGACGGTACACACACTTTCTGACTTGCAGCATCACAAACAAGTTCCAAAAGTCTGGAAGAGGGACAAGAGCTCCTATTCCAATAATTGCTTATGACAAACAAAATTCAAGATTTTAGGAAACGACACCACAGTTCGCTGGCTAATATGCTACAAAAAGCAGGGTACATCACGATACAGGGAAAGTTACACATTATAACACCACTTCTACAAGCTCTTATAGCATATACAATTTCAATTTATTCCAAATTCAGTGTCTCTCAGATCTCATAAACATTTTAAATTTCTCGTCAAATTCGAGGTACTTTAAAAATGAATTGAGGAATGAATCTAGTTGAATTTGCCGCAATTTAATTAACTTTCATACATCCTCCACCAGTTCCCCCATAAACAAGTAGATATGTTTATTTCTCCACACCATTGCTTATTGAACTGTCAGTTTGGTTAATTTTCTCCATTTAAATCATTTTGGATTTTAAATCATCAACTACTTCAGCAGAAGAAGTCATAGAAAGTTAATTTAAGTATTCCACCCGTGTCCATATATTTCATTATAACTTTTCAGGTTTCTACAAAATATAAAAAAAGTTGACCAGATATATAAATCAAAATCTGTTATATACTCCTCCCACGGGGCCAGGACATGTTAAGTACTAGAAGCCTGTCTACTACGGATGAGTAAGTCTATAGGGTCAGCGTAAATCCTACTAATTCAGGCACCAGAACTGGAGAAATGTTTGTCATTACCCATTAAAATCATTTGATAAGCTAGAAATCTATCAACCCAACATCCATACATTTACATGGAGTTAAAAATTTAGCATACATCCAAATAGCCNAAAAAAAAAAAAAAAATCAATTTCTGTAATTATCACAAGGGTGAATCATTGTCCCTTAAACAAAACTTTATATTATGCTGACATAGTGATACTAAAATAATAATTTAGAAATGAGGGCCCCATTTCAGATATTATGCTTCTAAATCAGATATTCAGCTATTATGTGTAGTTAATATTTAACAATCTATCTGCAGGTGCTATCGTAATTCAAAATCTACTTTCTCATAGTTCTCTACCAGAATTTACTTCAGCCTCTGAAAATAATACAAAGAATGTGTTCTAATCACGGAAATATCATAAAAACAACTCAGGGAATGAACTAGTCCTACCTATTGACAGCAAGGAAACCCGGGCAAGAGCAGAAAAGCAGGAAAGAAGTTAAAACATTTCAATACCATGGGTGCAAAGGTAATGACTAAAAATCACTCCCATGCTTGTGTCTGAGTGCTAATGGACTAAATGAGATATCGGGTCTATTATATCCAGTGTTATCTAAGGCGGATGGAGGAAAATGGTGGCAGACTGAAATCCTGCCATTGTGGTTGTCATGGCAGCTTGTGGACCCGTAATTACCGCCATCCATCACATTTCTACTGGCTGTGAAGCAGAAATCCACCACGTGATATCGGCATGGCAAATTTGATAATTATATTATATCCTAGTTTTGGTATAGGTACAAGAGCAGTGCATCAAATCCACTTGTACACCTAATTTTATCAACTTCTTTCTTTGATAAGTAAACCACAAACAATTTTGACATCAAGGCACAGATCAGTCCAGATCATCTAGCGTTTTTCATTTGAAATTGCCTCGATGAGAGTGTGTTCATGTGTGTACCAAAACATCACACAGCATTTCGCATATCCAGGATCACCAGAAAAGCTAGTTTGCAACCACAAATACATTATTCTCCTATCAATTGATCTGGAAAATAAACAGGTACATATGGCTAAAGAATCCACCATGTTTTGCAGCTATAAATCCGATCATCAATTGATATGCCATGCAATCAACCTCATTTTATTAGAGACTAAACCAGCAAATATACTTAAAGGTATCACACCCAATTCAATCAGATCATCAGAATCCGACCTCGAAACTACTCGGTAGGAACCAATAAACAGGCACAGATTCTATTCAATGACATAAAATGATAAGCAAAATTGCAACGCGAAGTAAATTTAGACATCAGAATTCCGAGAATCACCCGGCGGCGAAAGGTGGAGAAGCTGCATTTGCATACATCACAGCGCGAGGCTTCCTGAAAGGGCGGGGGTTCCATCGTTGTCATTTACACCACTTTGCAGCTATTTAGTCTCCTCACTGGTTCTGATCTCTGTATGACTCTGAACAATGATTTATTCTCATTTATTAATAGTATTATTTATCTAGAGATTAGAGATTTAGTAGGGTATTTAAAGTGTTACTATTCACCACCCCTTATTTCCAAGTACCGCCTCTTTAAATAATTTTTTCCCTTACATTTTNAAAAAAAAAAAAAAAAAAATCAAAATCAAAATTCTCCCAACCTCCTCTGGACGGATTCTCACCAAAAAAAATCTGAAAAAATGGCAAATCGTCACTACGGCCGAGACAAAGGTCTCATGATTGCCTGGTATGCTTTTTTAGTTTTCGACTAGTAAATAATCTTTAAAAAAAATTAAAAATTTATGCTGCCGGCCTGGCGGCCAGCGATCGCGGTCGTCCGTGACATTCCGATTTGCAAGACCGGCCGAATCCAGCGCGGCCGGTTTTAAGGCCCGGCCACACCCTTGGCCGCCACCGGCATTGATTGACAAAGAAAGTAGGGGCATGTTTGTATGGAAAAAAAAATTCAAATAAACTTTTCTAATAATCAAGATATCCGATTTTCGATTGGGAAGTGTCATTTGAAAGCTTGCAAAACTAATTTTCTAATGAGTAAATCTTATAGAAATCAAACGGTCGGATTTTGATCAGCAGTTAAAAACTACTGATCAATGGTTAGCTTTTTTTTAGGCTACTAACCGAAATCTGATCATTGGATTTTCATAAGATTTACTTTCTTAGAAAACTCGTCCTCCAAGCTTTCAAATGACACATTCTAATTTAATATAGTATCTTAATTATCAGAAAACTTGAATTGAATTTTTTCTATACTCATATATTTCTACTATCTTCGTCGATCGATTACGGAGGTATCAATTTTCAGAAATCGACAAACCATACATAATTTTGTTCGTCTCGCCATGAGCTTTAAAAACTTTAAATCAATTTTAAAGATCAATTTAAAATTTATCGTTAATTGAGTTTAAAATTTTTTTTGTGCCATAGTAGGGTTTGTAATTGAAGAGGCAAATTGTCGGTTCCGATTACTATGAGAGGCAAAGTGTCAGGAGAAAAAATTTAAAATCGGTCATACTTATTTTATTTTAGGAGGTTAAAAAAAATTCCCTTTACTTTATAAACCAAACGGGTACAAAGGTTTGTTCCTGATCCAACCAATCGGACAGGCCGGTTCGGTTTTCTAAACTGTGGAATTGACACAATCTTATTATCTTCAACAAGAAATTCGAGCATAATATACACAAATCCATTAACAATAGAACATATAACAAAGATGAAAAACAACACTTTGTACGAAAGAATGACCCTCCATTATCCCCACCATCCTCTTCAGGACTGTAATTATAGGAACCACCAATAAATGATAAC